ATTTATATGATACAGTGCATATATTTATATATTTATATGATACAGTGCATATTTACATATTTACATGCTTCCGTTCATATGCACGCACGCACGCATGTACAATCAATACATCAATATGCACTTTAATTTAAATTAAAAACTTAATAGAAACAAATTAATTTGTGAGTAAATTATCTTAATTATATTATTGTTACAATCCTTTTGGAGGTTACAAATAATATTCTATACAGGTGTATAGTAATTCATTTAAAGAAGGTCTGACAATAATAATATTAATAAAACACACAATATTAAATTTTTACTTCTTCTAATGACTGTGCTATATAATCTTTGATCACAAAGACAAGGAATTTCAGTAATACCTTCTATATAGAATGCACGATGTATTATACCATCATCTTTTATTCGATCATGCACTTTATTAATTTTCTGACAGGTTTCACGAATTTGATGAAATTTTTTTTTTCAGAAACTTTTAATTAAAACCGTAGAAATTTTATTATGTAATGATTTTGCTTATAAATACGACCCTTCGCGCTAGGAAAAAAAAAGAGTTCAACCCCGCGAAAGTGTCTACTGTCATTCCTTACGGATTTCCGTCAACTCCCAGGAGTCCTTACCACATCATTTAATAAATAAGTCTTCGATAGCTTTAATTGTTTTCCACGTTAAAGTATTGTAATTACTCAAATACACAACAACAAAGATGATTTCCATCAAAACCCTTACTTCACTTTTTGTCGTATTGCTGCTTTTTAGTAGCATCCCTGTGCAATGTATCGATACTAAGAAAATGCTTGACTTATGCAATAAAGAGCGTGCCAAGGTCGGTGCTCCAGCTCTTAGTCATAATGAGTAAGTCTTAAAATTTATTTATTTTTAATTTATTATAATCATTCCGGATTTGCTTATATAAAAATACTTATCCGGCTAAGTTTAATTTGGTTACAATATAATATTTTATTAACCTTTATTATTTTTGTATCCCTTTAAATTATAAATAAACTTAATTCAGTGCTCTTTGTAAAGTAGCTGAAGATCA